GCTGATTTCTTTTAGTTTGGGTAAATTCCCAAGATAGGAATGGCTGGATCATATGGTAGGTCTATATGCAGATTTCGGAGGTATCTCCATACTGTCTGCCATAGTCACTGTACCAGTTACATTCCCACCAACTGTGGATTAGGGTACCTTTTTCCCCACATCTTCACCAACATTTGTTGTTTGTTGATTTCTGCATCGGAGTCATTCTAACTGGAGTGAGGTTAAACCTCATTGTGGTTTTGATTTGCATTTCCTTAATGGCTGGTGATCCTGAGCATTTTTCCAGGTGTCTGTTGGCCATTTGAATTTCTTCTCTTGAAAAATACCTGTTTAAATCATTTGCCCATTTCTTAACTGGGTTGTTTGTTTTGTTGTTGTTGAATTTCTTGAGCTCTATAGATTCTGGATGTTAACCCTTTATCCATTGCATAGATATTTTCTCCCATCCTGCTGGTTGCCTCTTTACTTTGCTGAGTGTTGCTTTTGCAGTGCAGAAGCTTCTCAGCTTGATGGTCAATTTTGGCTTTGATAGCCTGTGCTTCTGGGGTCTTTTCCAAGAACTCCTAAGAGGCCTATGCCTATGTCTTGCACAGTTTCCCCTATGTTTTCTAGTAATTTGATGGTACTGGGTCGTAGATTTAGGTCATTGATCCATTTTGAGTGATTTTTTGTGGAAGGTGTAAGGTATGGGTTTAAGAATCAGTGATCTTTAGAGAAAAAAAATGCTCAGAAATATTTCAGGTTTACTGTCATTCCCCCAGAACAATTTTTTCCCCAGAGCAATTTAACTGATGTAACATAAAAGCGATTCTTGATTCCTTAGTTACAAAAAGAATCCCTGTTTGCAAAATTGTTAAGAATTTGTTACTCTTGGCTGGTACCATGGCTCACTGCTAATCCTCCGCCTGTGGTGCCGGCACATGGGTTCTAGTCTTGGTTAGGGCACTGGATTCTGTCCTGGTTGCTCCTCTTCCAGTCCAGCTCTCTGCTGTGACCCAGGAGGGCAGTGGAGGATGGTCCAGGTCCTTGGGCCCTGCACCTGCATGGGAGACCAGGAGGAGGCACCTGGCTCCTGGCTTCAGATTGGCGCAACACACCCGCGACAGCTCACTGGCCATAGCAGCCACTTGGGGGGTGAACCAACGGAATATAGCAAGTTCAGAAAGTAAAAGGACTTCATTATAGCTTAAGCATAAGGTTAAAGAGGGAACTAGCCACAAGAGGAGGGCAGGAAGTTAAATAGGGAGAATTATGAAGGCTTGTTACATCATGATGAGAACAGCAGAGGACAGTTTAAGGGTTCCAAGTTGGAGAATAAGGAAGTTCGAGGTCTCACAGATTAAAGAAATCAAGACGAGAGATCAGAGTCGTGTTAGAGTCTGTTGTGTTACTAGAAGTGAGATGATGGTGAGGGACTGAGGTGGTAGCAGTGGGGTATGGAGAAGTGGGAGAGCCCAGTGGTTATGTATGAGAAAGGAATGAGCAGTATTTGTAGCTGATTGGATGAAGTGAGTGCTGACACTCAACGTTTAATATTTTAGAGCATTTCAGATTTTGGATTTTTCAGATAAGGTACTCTCAACCTGCATTTTCCATATTTTATTTCACCTGTCCTTACAAAGTGGAAAGGGGTTCTTCCCTGTTTATAACTGGATCTTACTAGCATTAAGGGACTTAGTCCAGAGACATCTACCCTAGATATTAAAGGTGGGATTCCAACCCTGACTTGTCCTGCAAGGTTAGGAGATCACAGGCTTCTGCAGGGGTGGTTGTGCAGTGCCCTGGCGAGTGGGGTGTGGGGGTGCATCAAGTGGGCTTTCCAGGAAGTAGCACTAGATCAAGTGACCAGAGGGACAGAGGTTTATTAAGTAGGTTTTATCATGTATCAAGAGAAATTCACCAATTAATGAGAAAGGTGTATTACATAGATAAGTTTGTGGAGGGAGGGGCAGGGGTGTTTGGTTTGGGGAGTTTTGCTGTTTTGGTTGTTTTTCTGTTTTTTACTTTCTCAATTAAAAAATTTTCCAACTGAAATAGCAACTTAGCCATTTAATTAAAAACTAAACTATAATTTAAACTTTATATCCTAGACTTCTGATTTTTTTTTCATCATTGTGAAGTAGGTGCTAATTTAAATTGTGAAAGTTCATGCTCAGGCTACTCATGCAGCTGCTGATGGCATTTACTTACACTGCATCAGTACCTCTTTGTTTTTGTTGTGTTTTCTTTCTTTGGGGCCTTTTCTTCTGTATTTTTTTTTCCTTTAAACTCTAATGATTAACCTTAAATTTAGTGACCAGAAATAATCCCTGACTTTATTTCCAATGAGGTACATTTGATCATTTTATTCCAATAAATATTTTAATGTGAAAATAATTCTGAGGGGCTGGCACTGTGGTGTAGCGGGTAAAGCCGCCACCTGCAGTGCCAGCATCCCATGTGGGCGCCGGTCTGAGACCCAGCTGCTCCACTTCTGATCCAGCTCTCTGCTATGACCTGGGAAAGCAGTAGAAGATGGCCCAAGTCCTTGGGCCCCTGCACCCGCGTGGGAAACGCGCTCCTGACTTCAGATCAGTGCAGCTCTGGACATTGCAGCCAGTTGGAAAGTGAACCAACTCTCTCTTTCTACCTCTTATTCTCTCTGTGTAATTCTGACTTTAAATAAATAAATCTTAAAAAAAAATCTGAGACTTAAATACATATGTAAAGCAAATGGTTAAGGAAGAAAATTGATCTCAAGTTTTCTCAATAGGAAAAATAAGGAGGCTATTGACACTGTTATGCATTTTAGGACTTTTTTTAAGATTTAGTTAGTTAATTAGTTATCCTTTATTTTTTAAAGACAGAATGACAGGGGGAAAGAGCTCTCCCATCCACTTGCTCACTCCCCAAATGGTCACAACAGTCAGAGCTAATTCAAGCAGAAGCCAGGAGCCCAGAACTCCAGCCAGGTCTTCCATGTTGGCGGCAGGGGCCCAAATACTTGGGCAGTCTTTAACTGCTTTCCCAGGTGCATCAGCAGGGAGCTGGATCAGAAGCAGAGCAGCTAGCACTCAAATCAGTGCTCCAATATGGGATGACAGCATTGCTGGCAATAGCTTAATCTGTGCCACAACACCAGCCCCTGGGGTTTTGTGGGTTTTATTATTATTATTATTATTATTATGAAATGCCAGTTATTAATTTAGAATGTTCTGAGTTCCATGAAGAATTTTTACGAATTCAGAAATGTCTGTAAACAGTAATACACTGATAAATATATTTCACAATTAGCTCATCCAAGAAAAATGACCTTGATTTGTAGCATTTGCCAGTTCATAGTATAAATACTCTACCAGGCCAGCTAAGCTCCTGACGCGGAGTAGAGGTGAGAAGACATGTGTACAATGGACGCTCCTAGCTGGTATATACCATCTCCAGTACACCAGCACATAAAATCTCCTGATATGAAAAAGCAGATTTTCTCCATTGTTTCCACTTAATCCACTAGTTGTAAACTATTTAATGTCTTCAGAATGTGCCCAGTGGCCTTATCTATAAATTCTTCAAATTATATGTGTATGTCCAGATCAAGTTCTGGATTTTATTGTCATAACAATATGTATAATTTTAGACTTAAAGGGAAAAGATGATGATCATAAAAATTCTTATGTTCATCAAATATATAAGTATATTTACTTAATATAAAAGTAGCTTAAACCATACATATATAGTTCAGTAGCAATTACATTTATAACATTTCATCTTAGAGGCTCAGATAGAGCCAGAAGAAAAAACTCAGGAAAGTAATGTTTTTATACTGTCTTTTCTAATTCCCAATTCCCTATACATTCATTTGCAAATAAAGAATCTTTTCATAATCCTGAACATTCAATTGAATGTCATCACAGTATACAGTATAACAAAACTCAGTAAAACAAAGGCAAAATATATTGGTAAAATATTTTGTTGAGCTGTCAGTCCAAACTTAGAATGATTCAAGTTTTAGAAAAAAATTCTGCTTTGACCCTGAAACATGGCATTGGCAAATCTGTGTCACGGTGTGTTGGGGAAATGCTGTAGGTAACAGATCTTGTTGACCACAAATGGAAGCTAAAATCAGACTCCTCATTAATGTTTTTAAGGTTCATGAGATAATTGTAGAATCTAAAGCAAGTAATTTTTAATGGTAATTTTTCTCCACAGAACTGAATCTCTTTTTTACATCTCATGTATATTTCCATTTAAATTGTGACATGACAGCAAGTACAGATCTTTTAACATGTACAAAAGTGAATAAAAGGATCTGTAACATATTAAGTCTCATGGAGATCATAATACTTTTCACATGATTTAGGTTACAAATAAATCAAGTATAACATTTCTGGGTTCTGGTTCAAAGAAAATATGTTTTATCTGATATCCTTTCAACTTGTAGCTTTCCCAGGAAGCTATTGATGACAGTGTGATCAAAATGTCATGTTGTTTTTATAAGAAAGGAATGTTGAGTCATACAGACATATGTTACTGTCTACAAGACTTTAAGTATTTCTAGGTAGAACTAAGCTTTTGACGCAGAGCTATTGATTACATCGATCAACTTTGATACCTGAAAAATACTTAATACATAATAAATTATGATTAATGTTTTAAAGCAGAATCCCTCCTTAATTTTAAATTTCTTTGACTTTTGACAATATTTGTATTTCAGAGAAAACTTGTTTCCATGAAATTTATTTTCTGTGGGTGTTTTACATAATTTTTAAGTCTTTATCAAAATATTGGTTGCCACATATAATTGCACAAATTAAAATAGAGCACAGGGAGTCACAGATTGAAACAAACATTGGATTTAGCTTCTCTGTGTCCTGCCTTTCCCACAATCCTCTTCACAGCCCTTGAGCCTCACCATGTCCAGAGGCCAAAGCCTCAGTAGTTAATACTGAATTGTTTTGCCATCTCATTTACATTGTTAACGTTGAATGCTACCAGTTACTTATATCAGTTTTGTATTTCAACAGATTTATGGAAAATTTACAAACAGAGATTCAAGAAATGGAATTCCTCCAGTTTTCAAAAGGTTTGAGTTTCATGAGGAAAGAAGACTTTGCAGAGTGGCTACTGTTTTTCACTAACACTGAAAATAAAGACATTTATTGGAAAAATGTGAGAGAGAAGTTGTCGGCAGGAGAGGTTGGTATGCCCTTTTATTATGCATGTGACAAGGATGAAATAATAAATTAGACATGTCAAGATAATTAAATGAAGTAACTTTACATTAACCAAGACTATGTTATTTTCTATTATTTAAATATAAAATCAAGTTGAGGTACATTTCTTGCATACTATTTTGCATTAATGAGCAAAATGAGACAGAATCAGTATAGCAACCATGAATTGCACTTCCAGTAGAGTCAGGAATAAATATCCACTATTAGTACTATTATTTAATAACATTCTAGAAATCTTAGCCAGTGCAAATGAACATCATTTTTAAAATGCATAAAAGTTTGAAAGAGGGTAAAGTTGTCTTTGTTTACATATGATGTAATTATATGCCTAGAGAACCCAAGAGAATTGTTGAAAAACCATTAGAGGCCGGCGCCACGGCTCACTAGGCTAATCCTCCGCCTGCAGCACCAGGACCCTGGGTTCTAGTCCTGGTTGGGGTGCTGGATTCTGTCCCAGTTGCTCCTCTTCCAGTCCAGCTCTCTGCTGTGGCCCGGGAAGGCAGTGGAGGATGGCCCAAGGGCTTGGGCCCTGCACCCGCATGGGAGCCCAGGAGGAAGCGCCTGGCTTCTGGCTTCAGATCGGTGCAGCATGACGGCTGTAGCGGCCACTTGCGGGGTAAACCAACGGAAAAAGGAAAACCTTTCTCTCTATCTCTCTCTCTCTCACTGTCTTACTCTGCCTGGCAAAAAAAAAAAAAAAGAAAGAAAAAAAAGAAAAAGAAAAACTATTAGAGAGTTGGGCATTTGGCCTAGCGGTTCAGATAACATTTAAGACACCCGTGTTGCATATTGAAATACCAACTCCACTCCCATTTTCAGTTCCCTGCTAATGCTCGCCCTGGAAGATAACAGTGATAGCTTATGTATTGAGCTCTTGCCACCCGTGTAGGAGACCTGGATTGAATTCCCAGCTCCCAGTTTCAGCCTGACCCAACCCTGGCCATTGAGGAGCGAACGAGCAGATAGCAGCACTCTTTCTCTCTCTCTCTCTCTTTCTCACACTCACCCCCTTTCTCTGACTCTCAAATAAATAAAGATACTGTAGGGGCAAGCATCTGGCAAAGCAGTTAAGGGGTTTGGGATGCCCCTGTCCCATATCGGAGTGCCTGATTGGAGTCAACTACTCTTCTTCCAATCCAGCTTTCTGCTGATGCACACCCTGGGAGGCAGCATATGATGTACATGGGTCCCTGCCACACTCATGGGAGATCAAGATGGAGTTGGATTTCCTGGTTTGTCCTGGTCCAGCTCCCAATGTTGGGAACATTTAGAAAACGAACCAGTACATGGAAGATCTCTCTGCCTTTCAAATAAAATTAAATGTTTAAATGTTTAAATAATATTGTAAACTATTAGAAACAATAAGAATTCAATAAAATGCCAATTGGCATGCTAATATATAAGGTATAGCTGTCCTATGTACAAATTATATTAGAGATCTATGGCCTGGGAAAGCAGTAGAAGTGGCCTAAGTCCTTGGGCCCCTGTAGCTGCGTGGGAGACCCAGAAGAAGCTCCGGGCTCCTGGCTTCAGATCAGCTCAGCTCCGGCTGTTGCAGCCATGTGGGGAATGATCCAGTGGTTGGAATACCTCTCTGTCTCTACCTCTCTCTCTAACTCTGTCTTTCAAATAAACAAAATCTTAAAAAAAATTAGAGAATACATTTAAATTAGAAAATATGATGGCATGGGGCTGGCATTTTAGCACAGCAGGTTAAGCTACCGTATGCAATGCCAGCATCCCATTTGGGTGCCAGTTTGAGTCCTGGCTGCTCTACTGATCCAGCTCCCTGCTAATGCACCTAGGAAAGCAGTGGAAGTTATCCCAAGTACCTGGGCCCCTGCCAGCCATGTGGAGGACTCAGATGCGTTCCGTGGCTGCTAGCTTCGGCCTGGCCCAGCCCCAGCTGTTGTAGCCATTTGGGTATTAAATCAGCAGATGGAAGATCTCTGTCTCTCTCTGTCTCTGCCTCTGTCTCTCTGCAACTCTGCCTTTCAAATAATAAATCTTTCAAAAATATAATGGCATGCATGTGTATGTATATATGAGTTATATGAAATTATCACCAAGCTAGTAGTAGTAATTAGTGTACAATGATGAATTTTCAAGTAATTTTTACTTTCTTCCTTTATACATTTTTGTATATTGTTACACAAAAATGTTTTTGGAATAGGTATGTATTTTTGTATGCAGCTTTTTGAAAGGTTATTTCTATTGTGAGGAAAAAAGATAATACAATATAATGGAAGGTTATATTTATATTTATAACTGCAATAGAGATATATATATAACAATTAAGAGTAAATTTAACAAGAAGTATATGAAGAAAACTTTACAGTCTTCTTTCTTTTTGACAGACAGAGTGCACAGTGGGAGAAAGAGACAGGGAGAAAGGTCTTCCTTTTCCGTTGGTTCACCCCCCAAGTAGCTGCTGTGGCCGGTGCGCTGCAGCCGGCACACCACGCTGATCCAAAGCCAGGAGCCAGGTGCTTCTCCTGGTCTCCCATGTGGGTGCAGGGCCCAAGGACTTGGGCCATCCTCCACTGCACTCCTGGGCCACAGCAGAGAACTGGACAGGAAGAGGAGCGACAAGACAGAATCCGGCACCCCGACCGGACCTAGAACCCTGTGTGCCAGCGCCACAGGCGGAGGATTAGCCTGTTGAGCTGCAGCGCCAGCCAACTTTACAGTCTTGCTGGATATTTTTTTTTTTTTTTTATTTTTTTTTTTTTTTGACAGGCAGAGTGGACAGTGAGAGAGAGAGACAGAGAGAAAGGTCTTCCTTTGCCGTTGGTTCACCCTCCAATGGCCGCCGCGGCCGGCGCGCTGCGGCCGGCGCACCGCGCTGATCCGATGGCAGGAGCCAGGAGCCAGGTGCTTTTCCTGGTCTCCCATGGGGTGCAGGGCCCAAGCACCTGGGCCATCCTCCACTGCACTCCCTGGCCACAGCAGAGGGCTGGCCTGGAAGAGGGGCAACCGGGACAGAATCCGGCGCCCCGACCGGGACTAGAACCCGGTGTGCCGGCGCCGCTAGGCGGAGGATTAGCCTAGTGAGCCGCGGCGCCGGCTTGGATATTTTTAAAATTGTCTAAATAGACAAGTAGAGGCATTCCCTATTATTGAGTAGGAAGAAGCCTTACTATTATAAATGTAGTCATGCATCACTTAGTGACAGGAATACATTGTCAGAAATGCCTCATTAGATTATTCCATCATTGTTTGAATATCACAGAGTGCATTTAAACAAACCTGGATAGTATAGCCTACTACACACCTACAGTCTATGAAATAGATGAGTATATGGCATAACCTATTACTCCTAGGACCATGATAAATAACACAAAATTAAATCAAGCACAAGAGAAATGATGAAATCAAGAGACAATAAATGCAAGATGTATGAGGCTGCTGCTGGCATAATACAGCTTACTCTTTTACAGTCAACTTTTTTCTTAAAAACAAAATATGCCCTAAAATAATAATTTAATAATACATATAGTGAATACATAAACCAGTAAAAGGTTTATCAAGCATTATGTATACATCAGGTGTATTTACATCAGCATCACCACACACACATGAGTACTTCACTAGGCAACAGGAATTTTTCAGTTCCTCATTATAATCTTAGGCTACCATGGACGTATGGTGTGGTCCATCATTGGCCAAAACACTGATATGTGGTGCATGTCTGTGTAGCAGTTCTCCCTTCAGTTGGGTAGAAGGCCCTGCCCACATAGTTGCTCTGAGATCCAGATCTCAAAGGCTGTGCTGTCTTGGGGTTCCGTCTTAGGAGTACCATCCTCAGAGACTATGGAAGGAAAGGCAAAAGGGGAGGGGAGAGTATCACATTCCAGATATTAAATGTCTGGACCTGGAAATATCACAGGACACTTGGCTGTTGACCAAAATAACCCCACCTAAATGCCAGGAGACCAAAAAGTGAAGTTTTTCATATGTGCAGAAATCAGAAAAGAACCAGATATGAGTGAACACCAATGGGTCTCAGTAAAAATACCTTTGGATTCTTGGTAGGGAACTAGACAAGCTATAAAACTTCATATGAAAAGAATATTAAGATATTAAAATGTTTTACCAAGCCTTGGAAACTAAAATAATTGGTTACTGACAGTGAAACAAAAGATCAAATATGCAGACAATATATAAAGTCCAGAAATAGAATCAAATACTCATACACATGGAAACTTAGTATACGTAAAATAGTATTTCAAATTGCTTGAATAAAAGAATTACTTTTTAAATGGAATTAGGAAAATTCAGTGGCCATCTGAGGGAGCAAATTAATGTAAATCTCTACATTAGTCATTACTTGAAAATAAATTCCAAATGGATGAAAAAATAAATGTTAAAGAGAAAAATGGAACTTAATAGATACAGAAGGAACTTGTATCATTTTAGAGTGTATCATCTTAGAGTGGGATATATCTCTTTCTAAGCAAATTCCAGATGCTTTCAAGGAAAAATTGATAAAATTACTAGCTTAAAAATTGGAGTTGGCATCGTGGTGCAGCAAGCTAAGCTGGCAGTTGGGACAACCTGTATCCCACATGAGATTGTTGGTTCAAGTCCCAACTATTACACACTTCCAATCGAGCTTCCTGCTGATGCACCTAGGGGGCAACAGATGATTGCCCAAGTACTTGGGTTCCTACCACCCATGTGGCAGACATGGATAGAGTTCCTGGCTGCTAGCTTTGGCCTGGCTCAGCCCTGACTATTTAAAGCATTTGAGAAGTGAACCAGCAGATGGAAGATTTTGCTTCCTCACTCTGTCACTCTGCCTTTCAAGTAAATAAATAAATCTTTTAAAAAAAAATAAATTCTTTTGTCTCCCCGAGGCCCCAGAAAAGTTATAATCAAAGTCAAAAGAAAATAATTTTTAAATGGGTGAGAAACAATAGCTAAGATATGGAATCAACCCAGATATCCATCAACTGAAGACTGGATAAAGAAATTATGGTATATATAAACTATGGAATACTACACAGTAGTAAAAAAATGAAATCCTGTCATTTGCCACAAAATGGATGCAACCAGAAAGCATTATACTTAGTGAAATAAGCCAGTCCCAAAAAAGACAAATACCAGATAATCCTTCGGGTCTGTGGTAACTAATAGTGTACCTAAAAGGTAATCTAAAAGAGTGGAATTGATACTTTGAGATGCAATGGTGTTGAACAGTAGTCTTGACTGTTGAGAAGAGAGTTTTTTTTTCCTTCATACTATTTGTTGAACTCTTTACTTAGTGTATGGCTAATCTTATGAGTATAAAGTTAACTGAAAATAGATCTTTATAAAAAATAAGAATGGAAATAGGAGAGGGAGGAGGAAGAAGGATGGGAGTGTGGGCAGGAGGGAGAGTAGAGTGAGAGAAATCAGTATGTTCCTAAATTTGTATATATGAAATGCATGAATTTTGTATACCTTAAATAAAATGTAAAGTGTGGGTAAGAGAGGGAACTACTGAAATCATATGTAATAGACCAATTTCCATAATTAATAATGGGGTCTTAAAAACAAAGCCCATAAATATCAAGACATTTGAGGGATCTGGGATTTTTCCTTATTTGCTATAAAACAGGATCTTGAAAATCAGTGTAAAATGAATCTTAATGAAGAATGGGATGGGAGAGGGAGTAGGGGTGGGATGGTTTGGGGGTGGGATAGCAGGTATGGGGGGAAGAACTACTATAATCCAAAAATTGACTTATGAAATATATAATATTTATTAAATAAAAGCTTTCTATAAGAAAAAGAAAATCAATGTGCTATTAATACTTACAAAAAGTACCTAAGACTTTATCTATCTTCAAATTAGCCTGTATGGTTTTTTGGATACTTGCAGAATAGACAGCACTGTTGAGTCAAGACAAAGGACTGTTGATCACATAACAAGAGCTTGAGCATGACATTGGTGTTGGTTCCCCCTTGCCTCCCAACTCCCATGGAAGTGTTGCTGAAAGGCCCAGCTGGATGCTTCTCCAGAAGAGGATTTCCAGGACAGCTGAGGACCTCATCTCAGCAATCTCAGTTTTTTTTAAGGTTGATTCATTTATTTGAAAGGCAGAATTACAGGCAGAGAGAGGTAGAGTCAGAGGGAAAGGTCTTCCATCTGCTGGTTCACTCCCTAAAAATGGCCACAACAGCCAGAGCTGGGTTAATCTAAAGCCAGGAGCCAGGAACTTCCTCTAGGTCTCCCACACAGGTACAGGGGGCCAAGGTCTTAGACCGTCTTCTGCTTCATTCCCAGGCGCGTTAGCAGGGAGTTGGATTGGAAGAGGAGCAACCAGGACCCAATCGGCACCCATATGGGATGCCAGCACTGCAGGTGATGACATTACCTTTTAGGCCACAGTTCCTGGCTCCTGGTTTTGGCCTGGCCCAGCCCCAGCCATGACAAGCATCTGGGGAATGAACCAGCAGATGGGAGATACCCTCTCTTGCTCACTCTCCCTTCCCTCTTCCTTCCCTCTTTTGCCCTCCCCCCTTTCATATAAATAACTTTTTTTTAAGTTTGCAAAGATAAAATTCCATAAAATTCACAGAAGCTGAGAGAGTGGTGATTGAATGAAACCTCACATCTGTAGAAAGCATGATTCTAAATATCCGTATCAAAAGAAACTTTTTTCACACAGGGAAGAATTGAAATCATTTGGGCCAAGGTTCAAACTCTGGCCATTTCACTAGGTAAACCATGGGCAAATTATTTACCCACTGAAAGGTTACTTGCCTAAGACTTACAGAGGCTACGAGCATACACCTAACAAATGGCAGAAGTGGAATTTTATCATTGGTCCATAGGGCTCCAATACCCAGTGTTGCATCCACTGATCAGACTGAGGTGGACCTCTTAACTGTGTATTAGTCCCCTTGGGCTGCCCTAACAGAATACACAGACTGGACAGCTTATGAGAAATCCATTTCCCCACAGTTCTAAAGGTCCAAGATCAAGATGCCAGGGTTCCAGTTTCTATTGAAGCCCTCTCCTTAGCTTGCACGTAGCACCTTCTCACGGTGTCTTGTCCTGACCATTTCTTCGTGCACACACATGGAGATAGCGAGAACAGGTGAACTGTGGTGTCTTTTTCCTGTTCTTACACTCACACCAGTTTCACCAGATTGGGAAGTCCCACCTGATGGCCTTATCTGTCCTTCATTACCTCCTTACAGGGCGTGTCTCCAAATACAGTCACACTGGGAGTTAGTGCTTCAGCACAGGGATTTGGAGGGGTTGCAGTTCAGCCTGTAACATGGGGCCACCTCAAGGTTTACACTGCAAAACCCTCGACAGACCCCATTCACAGTGTGCTGTCTGCACTGCAACCCTGCTGTTCTCTTGAGGTTCTTCCTGATCTCTTCGACCCATAATTATCTGACTCTGCACCTTGAACATTTTAATAGATTTACTTGGAGAGAGTGAAGTTTACAAGCTTTATGATAGAAAATAAGACTCAGTTATAAGATTATTTAATGTATTTATAAAATTGTAATAAACACTCTTTGTTTTATTAGAGTATTAGTTTGGATGAATTCAAGTCATTTTGCCATTTTACCACTCACTTGGAAGACTTTGCTATCGCCATGCAAATGTTTAGCTTAGCTCATCGCCCTGTCAGACTAGGTAAGTTACATGAATCGTTTTATTTTCATCATCTATAAACAGTTTCACTCAATTCTTCTACTGGATGGTAGCAATCAAGGAGCTGGCTATCAGTAAAATAATTCATTGGCCTTTTAATTCAACATAAATACAACACTAAGACTCCCAATTTAACATTTATTTTATTTGCTTCTATTTCCTCACTCTCTGAAAAAGGATGTACTTAAATACGTGTGTTTAAAGCCTTGATTCAACTAAAGCAGCCTACTTGTGGTTATTCTTGTGGCATTTCCAGCCAAATTCATGATTTTAATACATTCTTTGTGGTATTTTGTGTTTCACTTCCCAAATAATAAAAATTGAGCTTTGTTTTCACTTATAAATAATGCAAATTTAGATTTAATTCACCTTTGACTGTTTCACGTGGTTGATGAATTACTTTGTTTTGTTTGCAGCTGAGTTTAAGAGAGCTGTGAAAGTAGCAACAGGACAAGAGCTCTCCAACAATATTTTGGATACCGTCTTCAAGATCTTTGATTTGGATGGTGATGAATGTCTTAGTCACGGAGAGTTTCTTGGGGTGCTAAAAAACAGGATGCATCGGGGTCTCTGGGTAACAACTTTTGAGTTTCAAAAAACTATGTTTCCATGTTTTCACACTGGTCTTAAACATAGAGTTTGGGCAAAAGCAGAGTCTTAAAAGGAGTTTTCATCACTTACAAAAAGATGGTGAGGTACACTTCACTGAAATAATTTTTACAAATGGATACATTTGTCTTTGCCTTTAAAAACAAAAAATCTGAATCTAATCAGAAACCATACCCTAGGATTTAACTTTGAACTCTGTACTTAGACATACCTAGGTTCCAAATCCCAGCCCTACCGTTAAGTAGAAAATAGTAGCATTTTCATAAAATAAACCTCAGCTTCATTATTATTCAAATTCACATATTAGTCTATACATGTGGGACAAACCAAACTTAGAATCTTGTTTAAAGTCTGCTAAAAACACTCTCGTGAAAGAAGTCTGCAAAGGGAGAACGAGAGCCCAGAGAGCATGCACGTGGCAGGTAGGCTGTTAGGCTAGGAGAAAGGTAGGAGTGATGAGGAAAAGAATACCGGGCCAGTCATGGAAACAAAGCTATTTATTACAACTTCAAAAAGCAAATTCAGGGGCCAGTACTGTGGCAAATAGCGAGTAAAGCCTTCTAAAGCCACCACCTACAGTGCCAGCCTCCCATATGGGTTCCCATTCGGGACTCGGCTGCTCCACTTTCAATCCAGCTCTCTGTTGATGGCCTGGGAAGGCAGCAGAAGATGGCCCATGTGCTTGGGCCCCTGCACCCATGTGGGAGACCTGAAGAAGCTCCTGGCTCCTGGCTTCAGATTGGCCCAACTCTGGGCATTGTGGCCATTTAAGGAGTGAACAGCCTCTGCCTCTCTGTAACTCAGCCTTTCAAAAATAAATACATAAATCTTTAAAAGAAAAAAAAAAGCAAATTCAGTCTTCTGCAACAAACAATTTATGAAAAATGAGCCCTATTTTCATTAACAAACATGTTTTATAGGCTTTGTAGCCATTGAACATCCCATTGTTAATCTTATTCCTGGAAATTAAACCCATCTTTGCAGTTAACAATTTAATGCACCTAGGAACTCTTTCTAGCTTCTTTTTAAAAAAAAATTAGAGCTATAAATTAATTATAGGAATGAGAACATACATAATCTAAAGTAGACGTTTGCTTCCATTTGGCTGATTTCCAGAAATACCATGCTCCTATGGTCAGCAGGATCCAAAAGTTTTCTGACTTTTACTTTTCCATTTTACTGAGTGAAGTAATCCACTAAGCACTTAAGTGAATCAGATTATTGCTCCCTAAAGTTTTTCATCAAATATACTGTGACTTAGTATTTCTTTCTTTTTAATTTTAGCTAAGCTTACGTCAAAATTTTAGTCTTACAATTTTTATTCTATCTAGCAAGATTAAGTTTACCAGCACAAGGGAAACATAGAATACCCCAAAGGGGGAAGTATTATAAAGCAATCAAGTTTTCAAGCCAATATATTAAGGAGGATGGCCTAAGTCTTCACTGTCTTCCAAATCCAGTAATGCTTCATTACTCTGCCTCCATTCCTTAGTTAACTGTCAGGATAGTCTCTGTCACATTCACTTTGTTTCTCTTACCCTTATGTCGGAGTTCTGTTGCAGTCACTGTTCACTACGTAAATCCCCCCCCAACTACTTTTTGGAGGAGTGTAGGAAAGCAGTTAACAGTAATGTAAAGTACACATGAAATATTGTTTAACTTTGCAGAAAATAATGCCTTGATTTTTACTTTTTGTTAACAGGTACCACATCAGCAAAGTATACAAGAGTATTGGAAATGTGTGAAAAAAGAAAGCATTAAAGGAGTAAAAGAAGTCTGGAAACAAGCTGGAAAAGGCATTCTTTAAAAATAATAGTAATATAGTGTCATACAAGTATTGCTGCAAATGTCAGAACTTCAGAAATTTTTTCAATCACTAGCTTCTTAAGTCTTCATTAACTTCCTTTGTCATGTAAAGGTGCCTTGTATTTGCTTTCTGATTGAATAATTTCTAAGTTTTCATTAAAGAACTTACTAGAAAGAAAAAGTATTATTTTATAATCAACATGGCCAGTATCAGTTCCAGAAGTTGTGAGGTTCCTAAAAGGGAAAATGAAGTTTAAGACTTATTTTAGATTTTTCTCATCTATATCTTTTTCTCAGAAATTCCTATAGATTTTATTTCAGTTAGTTGCATATAGTTATCTTAAAATAATATGTAAATTTTAATGTCCTATCTGGAAACAGAATAAAGTATTTCCATAGATACAAAAAGTATGGAGGTGCTTTTTATTTTACATGTATTTTTAAACCTACATTTTTAAAAAATGTAAATGTTCATCCCTTGCCAGCCTAATTAGTTCATGTTCTTAAAAAGGATGTAATTAGGAGAATCTTGACCACAAGATCAAGGCATTATGGACTGTACTGGATTTTGGAAAAATGTTTAAATGACACTAAAAATTAATTGGCACTGAAGAAAATGTAAAATGTATTAAGATGACACTTTTAAAAATATGGTAAAGAAAAAGTTTCAAAAACAGGTAAGAAAATAATACAATATTTTCTCACATAAGAAAATGGCAAATAATTACAGCCAGTTCCCCTCCCTAGAGAACTGGCTGGTTCCAGGACTGTGGCAGGCAAAGTCCAAGAGAAGCCCGGAACATCCTGTGCCTGAAAGTGAGGAAGGGCTCATGGAATGATGGGAGGTCACATAGGCAAAGCCGGCGGAAAGGGGCTCCTTTGGGCCCATCTGATATAGGGTGGGCATCACAATTAGTGTCAGTGAAGCATTGTGACTTACACAGAAAATTGAATGATTAATGGGACAAAAGAAATCTGTTCATTAAGAGTTGTTAATGAGTGGCTTGTACTGTGGTGCAGTGAGTTAAAGCCACAGCCTGCAGTGCCAGCATCCCATATGGGGGCTGGTTCGAGTGCCAGCTGCTCCACTTCTAATCCAGCTCCCTGCTAATGCGCCTGGGAGAGCAGCAGATGATGGTCCTTGGACCTCTGCACCCATGTGGGAGACCCAGAGGAAGCTCTTGGCTCCTGGCTTCGGATCAGCCCAGCTGCGGCCACCGTGGCCATTAGGGGAGTGAACCAATGGATGGAAGATTTCTCTCTCTCTCTCTCTGTGTGTGTGTGTGTGTGTGTGTGTGTGTCTATGCCTCTGCCTCTCTGTAACTCTGCACTTCAAACAATAAATCTTAAAAAAAAAAAAAAGTTGTTAGGGGCCAGTGCTGTGGCACATCGGGTTAACATCCTATATGGGTTGGTTCGAGTCAGCTTCCCTACTTCCTATCCAGCTCCCTGTTAATGTACCTGGGAAGGCAACAGAGGATGGCCCAAATACTTGGGCCCCTGAACCCATGTGGAAAACTTGGAAGAAGCTCCTGGCTCCTGGCTTCAGCCTGGCCCAGCACCCTGAAGCCTGCTGCATCTCCTGAAATCTAAACTGGATCTTTAGCCACTTGTTTGTTTTACTATCATTTTGTTGAGTAAATGATCATTCGGTCTCCTAATATTTTAGTGGTTAGCTCATATCTCTCCACTTATCCTTTTAAAGCATGGGTTAGAGGGAGGGAGAGTTCCCCAAGCTGTGCCTGTTCCGTCTTCTCTCTCTTGTTCTTTGGGAGTGTCATCACATCATTGGCTTCTGTTCTCTCCCCTAAACTCAAAGCCCAGTTGATTTCCAGACATCTCCATTTGGTTGGTCCAACTCGACATGTCTAAAAGTGATCATCTCCCCTTCTTTCCCCCAAACTCATATCCTCTGTCTCAGCATCTCTCCACATGGTGACCAAACTGGGAACCACACAGTTGTTCCACATTCCCACTGCCTTACTCCGTTGTCAGTCAAGTCCCTTCAGTTCTGTTTCCTCAGAATCTCCCGACATGTCCACCTGACAGCCCCATTGCCGCTACGCCAGATTATTCACTGATTACTTAGATTATCTCAGTGGACTCCTAGCAGGCCTATTGGAACCATTCCCCAATCAGGCATAGTGTTACACCACCTGGGTCCAGACCAGCTCCAGCACTCATTAACCATATACTGCGTAGCCAAAGACTCAGCCTCCGTGTGCCCATTTCCTCTAAGAGGGCATGATTTGTAGTTCTGATGTCATAGAGTTTTTGTGAAGACTGAGATGACAGGTAAAATGTGCTAGAGTAAACCCTTGGAGATCCCCTTTAAAAAAATGATTTTATTTGAGAGGTAGAGTTACAGACAGTGAGAGGGAGAGACAGAAAGGTCTTCCTTCCATTGATTCACTCCCCAGATGGCCACAACAGCCAGAGCTGTGCCAATCCAAAGCTAGGATCCAGACACTTCTCCCTGGTCTCCCACGTGGGTGCAGGGGCCCAAGGACTTGGGCCATCCTCCACTGCTTTCCCAGAACATAGCAGAGAGCTGGATGGGAAGAAGAGCAGCCAAGACTAGAACAGGCGCCCGTGTGGGATGCCGGTGCCGCAGGCAGAGGATTAACCTACTGTGCCACGGCACCAGCCCCAGAGACTCTTAAATAATAGATAGTACTGCATTAACTTAATCCAAATCCTTCACACCAGATTAATTTTTCTAGAAGTCCTGTCATGCCACTGCTGACAGTCCTATGACCCCACAATAACCTACGAAATAGTAAGCAACTCCATCTTTCTATCCCCATTGCCTAATGAATACCCACTCTCCATATGCTACAGCATTTTGCACTTCTTACCATTACCACACTTGGACATGTTCTCCTCTCCAAATACTTGCATTTGCTGGTGCTCCTGTAAAGGGTGCCCCCTCGCACCCCAGCCCGTACTCAGCTAACTACTTTAGGTGGCAATTCATCTGTGAAGGTTTTTATTTTGTTCCCTATTTTCCCCCTCAAGCACTGTTTTCAAACCTCATTAAAATGTGCTGAAATTCTGTTTATTTGTCGCTTCTCAGCTATGAGCTCCTTAAGAACAAGGACTCAACTCCCAGCATCCATCCAAGAGCTGGCACATAGTAGTTGCTCAGAAAATATTTGCCGAATGAATAAATGGAAGGAAAGTAGAATAAGCCATATCCCCATATATTCTTGGTATCTCCTGATTGGTCCTCTTCTCTGTTAAAAGACTTGACAGGGTTAGGGTCCTAGAAGAGCTGCAAGACTGCTCTGGCTTGGCCTCTGCCTTGCAGGTAGGCAGCAAATAGCAAGAGCCAGTGATTCTGGTCTGGCAGGTTCTGGTGATGCACACGAAGCTGAAATGCACTCTGAAAAATGGGGAATAAACTTACCCTTGGGACTTTAACAACCAAAACACAGTGTAGGCACATAGGGCAGGGAAGACAGCAAAGTAGGAAGCCCTGGGACTCTCTCCATCTAAACAACCACTGAATTGGCACGAACTGGCTAAAATAAATTTTTGAGGATTCTGGAGTCTAGTAGAACATAGCAACCCTGGTAGAGTTTAGTGAGGAAGGCAATAGACCTGGATGAATTTTAGCCATAAGCAATGTAGCAGCTACAGCCCCTAGCCCGGCAACAGAGAGCAACAGGAGAGGAAGCTCTCATTCCTGGTGAAGCTTTGGGGAACGAGGTGTGCAAAAAGGACCTTGTACTGCAGAGCTGAGGTTATGTGCTTTGCTAGCTGATTGCTGCTTTTGATCTCTGAGAAGCTAGCACCCATTTTTCAGTGCCCATTCTCACAGGCTGAAGTAGCTCCTCAGCTACAGGGGATTTAAGGAGACAAGGGGAGACCTTGATTGAGCTCTTGGTTCCTTACTTCAGTCACCCTAGCTGTTGCAGAATGAATCAGCAGATGGGAGCATTTCTCTCTCTCCCTCTCTCCCTCTCTCCTTCTCTCCCTCTCTCCCTCTCTCCCTCTCTCCCTCTCCCTCTCTCTCTCTCCCCCTCTTTGTAAAATAAGGAAACAGTAAAGCTATACCTTTGTCAGGTCACTGGCTGACTACAAATCGAAAAGAAACTTCAGTGACCACACACAACAAGGAATACACATTTTGCAAAAAACGATTTGGAAAATCCATAAAGGAGTGTGTCCGGCCCACAGTAAGTCAAACAATTCCTGAGATCTGAAAATCAGATTTGCAAAATTACTACCACATAATACTTAAGAATGATCAGTTCTCAAGAACAAAAAAAATCTATAGATCATGTAAAGTACAGGAAAATAAAAGAATATCAAAGCAAGCATGCCTGAAGAAGACCAGACTTTGGAATTATTAGTTAAAGACGTTCAATCAAGTGTCTGAAATACGTTCAGTATGTTTGCTCAAGGAAACCATTGGCAAAGACTAATAGAAATTGAGAACAATGTCTGAACAAAACTGGAATAGCAATAAAAACCAGAAATTATGAAAAGACACCAAACAGAAATTTGGGAGCTGAAAAGTGTAGTGAAAAATTCAGTACAGGCAAGGATGTAGAAAAACTGGGATCTTTGTACATTGCTGGCAGGAATGGGAAATGGTGCAGCCACTCCTGGAAGAAAGTTTGACAGTTCCTGAAAAAGGTGAACATAGAATTATCATATTACCCAGCGACTATTCCTAGGGACTCAAACAAATATGTATGTGCCAATGTTCATTACATCATTATCGCTTAGCCAAAAGGTGAGAACATCCAAGGGTCTACCAACAGATGAATGAAAAAAAAACAAAATGTGGTATATACTTACAATGATATATCATTCCATTGTGAAAGGAATGAGGTTCTGATACATACCACAAGGTAGACGAACTTGGGAAATATCCTAAGTGAAATAGGTCAGACAGAAAAGGACTAATACATGATTCCACGTCTATCACTACCTGAAATAAGCAAAGGGATACATAGAGAAAGTGAGTAGCTTAGATTTTACCATGGATTTGGGATGGGAATAGAGGGAAAGGAGAAGTTATTTGAGTTGTTACATTTAATGGTTACAGAGTTTTTGTTTGGGGTGATTAAAAAGTGGGGCAAGCTCAATTCACAATAGCTAAGATACAGAATCAACCCAAAACCCAAATGCCTATCAATTGAAGACTGGTTAAAGAAATTATGGGATGTAGGCCGGCGCCGCGGCTCACTAGGCTAATCCTCCGCCTAGCGGCGCCGGCACACCAGGTTCTAGTCCCGGTAGGGGCTCCGGATTCTGTCCCGGTTGCCCCTCTTCCAGGCCAGCCCTCTGCTGTGGCCAGGGAGTGCAGTGGAGGATGGCCCAGGTGCTTGGGCCCTGCACCCCATGGGAGACCAGGAAAAGCACCTGGCTCCTGGCTCCTGCCATCGGATCAGCGTGGTGCGCCGGCCGTAGCGCGCCAACCGCGGCGGCCATTGGAGGGTGAACCAATGGCAAAAGGAAGACCTTTCTCTCTGTCTCTCTCTCTCACTGTCCACTCTGCCTGTCAAAAATAATAAAAAAAATAAAAAATAATAAAAAAAAGAAATTATGGGATGTGTATGCCATGGATTACAACACACCAGTAAAAAAAAAAAAAAAATCCAGTCGGTCGTTTACAACAAGATGGATGGAACAGGAAAACATGATACTTAGTGAAATAAGTCAGTCTCAAAACGACAAATACCATACCTTCTCCCTGACGTGTGATAATGAATAGAGCACCTAAAGGTAATCTATACAAGTGAAATTACTACTTGGAGAAGCAATGACTCGGAACAGCCTTTGTCTCAACTGCTGAACAGTTTTTTTTTTTTTTCATACTATTTGTTGAACTCCTTACTTAACATACAGTTAATCATGTGTTTATGAAGTTAATTGAAATTAGACCTTAGTAAAAATAAAAGAGTAATGAGAATAAGAGAGGGGGGAGGAAGAGAAGGGGGAGTATGGGTGGGAGGGCAGGTAGGGTGGGAAGAATCACCATGATCTGAAAGTTACAATTATGAAATGTGTGAAGTTTGTATTCCTTAAATAAAAGGTTTCTGGGGAAAAAGAAATAAGCTAATGAAAGACCAAAAAAGTGGGGGCAAAAGGTAGCAGTTATGCTTACACAATTTTGTGCTTAAGGTATACAAATTTCATATATTTTATGTATACAGATTTAGGAACATCTCCTACCCTTCCTGCCACCCATGCTCCCACCCTTCCTCCTTCCTCTCCTAATCTCAGTTTCTACAATAACCTGCTTTCAGATTACTTTACACTGATAAGAATTGTGCAATTTTGTAAGTATAATTAGTGCCAATGATTTCTACACTTAAAGGTTAAGATGGGGCCGGTGCTGTGATGCAGCTGGATAAATTGCCAATTTTGATGCTGGCATCCCATACTGGAGTGCCGGTTCATGTCCTGGTTGCTCCACTTCCAATCCTGCTCCCTGCTAATGAGCCTGGGAAAGTTCTTGGGTCCCTGAACCTATGTAGCAGACCTGGATGAAACTTCTGGCTCCCAACTTCGGCCTGGCCCGACCCCAATCATTGTGGCCATTTGGGGAGTGAACCAATGGATAAAATATCTCTTTCATTGTCTCTCCCTCTGTCCCCATAACTCTGCCTTTCAAATAAATAAATCTTTCTAAAAATTGGTTACGATGTGGGCCGGTGTTATGGCACAGCAGGTTAAGCCACCACCTATGATGCCTGCATCTCATATGAGCACCAGTTTGAATCCTGGCTGCTCCATTTCCAGTCCAGCTCATGGAAGGCACATGGGAAGGCAGCAGAAGATGGCCCAAGTGCTTGGGCCCCTGCCACCCACATGGGAGACCAGAATGAGTTCCAGGCTCCTGGCTTTGGCCTGGCCTGGCCCTGACTATTGCAGCCATTTGAGGAGTGCACCAGCAGTGGAAGACACATCCCATATGAGATGCCAGCCTTGCAGGCAGCAGCTTCACTACAATTTTTAAAGCTTAATGTAATGTACAAAAATAAACCACTGAATTATACACTTAAAATAGGTAAATTATGATATGTGAATTACATCTCAATAAGTCTGCTTTTGAAAAATATGTTTAATATAGACACGATTAACCAATGGGTGACAGATTGAAAAAGCATATTTGAAAATATCAAAAGCCAACAAAAATTAACATCTAGATCAGTGATTCTCAACCTAATCAGACCCAATGTCCTCCCCATGATCTTCACAATTTTTTTTAAGATTTATTAATTTGAAAGGGAGAGCTATAGAGATGGAGAGAGAGAGAGAGAGAGAGAGAGAGAGAAAGGTCTTCCATCCACTGGTTCACTCCCCAGATGGCTGCAATTGCTGAAGCTGTGCTGATCCAAAGCCAGGAGCCAAGAGCATTTTCCAGGTCTCCCACGCAAGTGCAGGGGCCCAAGGACTTGAGCCATCTCCTGCTGCTTTTCCAGGCCAAAGCAGAGAGCTGGATCAGAAGTGGAGCAGCTGAGACTTGAACCAGCACCCATTATGGGTTGTTGACACTGGAAAGGGCAGCTTTACCCATTATGCCACAGCGCTGGTCCCAGCCTCCACAATCTTTTTTTTTTTTTTTTTTCTTTTTTTTTTTTTTTTTTTGACAGAGTTATAGACAGAGAGAGAGAGAGAGAAAGGTCCTCCCTCCATTGGTTCACTCCCCAAATGGTCGCTAAGGCTTGGCGCGTTGCGCCGATCCGAAGCCAGGAGCCAGGTGCTTCCTCCTGGTCTCCCATGCGGGTGCAGGGCCCAAGCACTTGGGCCATCTTCCACTGCCTTCCCAGGCCACAGCAGAGAGCTGGACTGGAAGAGGAGCAACCAGGACTAGAGCCCAGCGTCCATATGGGATGCCGGCGCCACAGGTGGACAACCTCCACAGTCTTTAACAATCTTTAATCTTTTTTTGTAGAGTCCTTCTACAATCCTGAAATTAAATTCATAAATAATATAACCTTCCTACATATTTATTTTAAAAATAATAACAAACTCCATATGCAATGCATATATTTAAAAAGAATTTATAATAAGATAACATGTACTCAATATGTATTCAGGCATTACTAGTACTAGATCTCCCAAAATAAATCTTTGTATATTTTTAAAACACCCTCCAGAATCAGTGCCATCCAGATTACATGACAGCAACAACAAATGAAGAACTCTGTAGAATAATAAGCAAATAATAACGAATTTTGGTTACTCACCATAGAGAGGTGAGATAGCGGTTAAGAGATGGATGTGAGTGACTGAGAAAGAAATGTCTGAGCTCCTTATAACAGGAGAAAGGCAAAGCAAAACAAGATTCTAATTTATTAGACTGGCAAAAAATAGAAATCTGATAATACCAGTTGTTAGTGTTGATTTTGAGAAATGAGATCCCTGCACACTTCTGGTTAAAGAACGGTCTGGAAGTCTTTAAGTACCTGTTCCCTCTGTGACTTAACAGTCTCACTCTTGGACAGACACCCCAAGAGAAACAAGCACAAATCAGCATGAACACATAGACAAATACATTCATCCCAGTATTGAATTTAGTTATAGAAGGTGTTCATTACTATGGAAATTCGTAAATAAAATGTATGAGCACCTGCCACAAAATACTAAGAATTAGAACTATGAACTGGAGGGGCTGGCGCTGTGGTGTAGTGGGTAAAGCCGCCGCCTGCAGTGCTGGCATCCCATATGGGCGCCAGTTCTAGTCCCGGCTGCTCCACTTCCGATCCAGCTCTCTACTATGGCCTGAGAAAGCAGTGGAAGATGGCGCAAGTCCTTGGGCCCCTGCACTCGCGTGGGAGACCTGGAAGAAGCTCTTGTTCCCTGGCTTTGGATCAGCTCAGCTCCAGCCCTTCCAGCCATCTGGGGAGTGAACTGGCAGATGGAAGATCTCTCTCTCTCTCTGTAACTCTCTTTCAAATAAATCTTTTTTAAAAAAATAAAAAAAAAATTGGAATAACGTGGATATTCAAAATATAGTATTAAGTTTAAAACATCAGAAGCAGTATCTTTAGCAAGTATAATGTATGTAAATTAAAAATACATACTGACAAAAGCAACACTACTGGCAGGGAGCATGAGGGAAGGGAATGGCAGGTAGAGTATGCTTTTATTTTCTAATCTAACAACAGTTTGCTCGAAGTGATAGCAACAATGAATTGAGTGATTACAGTTTATGGATAAGTGAATTGAGTGACAGTAAAATCATAAGAGACAACAAGGAGAAATTTAGAATAGTCTATTATTTGAAAGAGGACATGAGTTAGCTATACTTGCATATTTCTTCTAAAAAAGAGAGTTACAGAGTTGGGGGGAAAGGGAGGGAGAGACAGGAGACAGACCCTTCATCTGCTGGTTCACTTCCCAAATAGCACGACAGATGGGCTTGGGCTGGGCCAAAGCTAGAAGCCATGAGCTTCATCCAGGTCCCAAGCACTTGGGCCATCTTGTGCTGCTTTCCCAGATTCATTAGCATGGAGCTGGATTGGAAGCGGAGCTCATATGGGTCACTGGCATTGCTGGCAGTGGCTTAACCCACTGCACCATAGCACCGGCCCCATAATTATATATGTCAAACTGAAGAGCAACCACTAACAAAGTAAATAACCCATTTAGGTTACTTTCAAAGGCTTCCCATAACAATAAGATAGAAACCTTTACAATGGTGTCATCGCTCTCCCTGTCCCTGTCTCAACTCTCTCCACTTCGTCTTCTCTTCCTCTCCTTCTTGCTCTACTACTGCCGCCATGTTGTTTCTCCTGGAGCCTCTCGCACTCACTTGGCCTATGATGTTCTGAGTCTTCTGCAGGACTCGCTCCTCCACATCGCCCAGGCCCATTGTGATGTGTGTTCTCCTGGGTCACGATTCTTAGGCATCTCGGTGTTTCACTTGGGGTGATTACGGCTATACTTTCCCAGCACTCACTCCATTTGGAGCCTTTGCTTGCAACTGGGCCAAGTGGCTGGCTGGTCGCCAAGAGGCTGCTCATTTTACAGTGGCTGGCAGCCACGTCAACAACGGTGCACCGATAGGCAAATGAGAGCTTTTGGGACTGCGATTTCTCTCAGAGGACAGTTGGATGGAAGTTTGCAGTGGAAATTCCACAAAAAGAAAAGAGCGTGGAGCAGCAGGGACGTTACAATCATGCGGCAGTGAGCAAGAAACCGCCGGTGAATGCCGCAGCTGGCGGCTGCACAGGATGCCGTCTTCTTGGAGCAAGGCACCCAGCTATCACCAGGGAGGACGCATCATCTTAATAAGATGAGTAGGGGCTGCAGGGGCCCATGCACAATTGTGGGATTTTATCAGAGGGATAAACCCTCAGGCCCCAGGCACTCTGAGTCCACACTGACTCTGGTCTGAGGTTTGGTGTGGGGCAGGGTGCTCATGCAGGCCCAGGAAGGCCTCCCCTCCTCTCACTTTATCATAGCACTCGGCCTCAACTGGCCAAGCCGCAGCACCAACCAGCTCCTATGGGGTAGGCAGCTGACTCTGGGAAAACCATGGCTCTTTCAGTGGACAGGGGAAGCTTATGGGGCTGAGAGTGAATCTCTGCTCCCTGTGACTCTGGGGGCCCTGCACCTTGTGACTGTGGGAATTCTCAGTTGGATAGGGCATGCAATAAGGTGTGGCTGGGTCTTTGAGAAGTCACCATATCTGGTTTCAGAAGCTCCGCGTTCTATACTCACACCGAGGCGCATGTCAGGATCCTTTGTGCAGTTCAGGTGCTTGCTTGGGGGAGGTACCTGGGCACTGTGGGCTCACCAGTTGGTCACATTAGCAGAGAGGGGCTGATACTGTGATCACGCCAGCTGAAGTGATCACACCCTCCCCCCACCCTGGCTGATAATAGAGGAGATCTATGATCCCAACCTGGGTATCGCCCTGGGCTCTTGCCCCACCCTCAAGCATTGGCCAGAGCTCCCTGGCCCCCCTGAGCAGACACCTCTGTATCCACTAAAGGAGCAGATATTTCCACTAAGCCACAGAGGCATAGTTCAAATACAAAAGCTGACAGAGGAGAAAACCAACAAGAGTTTCCACAAATGACTAAAAATGACTAAAAAAAAAAAAAGTAGAAATATAAGAAACATGAACAAGGAAGACAATATGATGCCTCAAAAGGAACACAACAATCTTTAATATTAGAATGTGAGGACAGATTGATGAGATGCCTGAAAAGGAATTCAAAAGAATGATCATAAGGAAACAAAAACATAGAGAAGCAAATGCATGAGTTAAAGAAATCCTTACATGACATGGTTGAAACATTTTGCAGGGGGACAGAGATATTGAAGAGAAATCATACTGATCAGTGGGTCATAGGAAGGGAATAAAAAATTCTTAGAAACAAATGAAGATGACAGCATAAGGTACCAAAACTTATAGAAATAGCAAGCACGGTGTTAAGAGGAAAGTTTATAACAATCAGTGCCTACACCAAGAAACTGGAATGATGTCAAATAAATGATCTAACAATGCATCTCAAGGACCTAGAAAAACAACAACAAACCAAATCCAAAATTATAGGAGAAAAGAAATAATTAAAATTAGAGAATAAACAAAATTGAAACAAAGAAAAGACACAAAAGATCAGTGAAATGAAGAGCTGTTTTTTTGAAAATAAATAAAATTGATACACCATTGGCCCAACTGACCAAAAAAATAAAAATTAAGACCCAAATTAATAAAATCAGAGATGAAAAAGGAGATGTTCCAAGAGATACCACAGAAATAAAAACAATCATCAGGAATTACTGCAAACAGCTATATGCCAACAAACTTGAAAAACCAGAAGAAATGGTTTTTCTGGACACAAAGAATCTCTAAAATTGAGTCATGAAGACACAGAAAACATAAATATACCAATAATCAAGACAGGGATTGAAAGAGTAATAAAGTCCCTCCTAACAAAGAAAAGCCCAGGGCTAGATGGCTTCACTGCTGAATTTTACCAATATTTTAAAACACTAATTGATATTCTCAAACTATTCAAAACAATTGAAAGGGACAGAATCCTCCAAGACTCCTTCTTGGGGTTTGTTGTTGTTGTTGTTGTTTTTATTTGACAGATAGAATTAGATAGTGAGAAAGAGAGACAGAGAGAAAGGTCTTCCTTTTTCCGTTGGTTCACCCCCCAAATGGCTGCAATAGCCAGAGCTGCGCCGATCCAAAGCCAGGAGCCAGGTGCTTCTTCCTGGTCTCCCACGCAGGTGCAGGCACCCAAGCACCTGGGCCATCCTCCACTGCCCTCCCGGGCCACAGCAGAGAGCTGGACTGGAAGAGGAGCAACCAGGACTAGAACCCAGTGCTCAAATGGGATTCCGGCACCACAGGCGGAGGATTAGCCAAGTGAGCCATGGCGCTGACCCCCCAAGACTCCTTCTATGAGGCCAGAATCCAAAACCAGAAAAAGATACAAGAAAGAGAACGTAGACTAATATCCCTGATGAATATAGATGAAAAATCCTCAACAAAATACTAGCTAATTAAATTCAACAACACATCAGAAAAATCATTCACTGAAACCAAGTGGAATTTATCCCTGGTAGGCAGGGATGGTTCAATGTATGCAAATCAATAAATGGGATACATTAACAAATTGAAGAACAGAAACCATATGACACATCACCTGGAAGGGATCATTTAGAAAAACTCCTCTTGGACATAGGGTGTTTAGTTTACTATTAGAATTCTGTGCGTGAGTAATTTTCTTTTACCTATTCTTACCTATCTTTTCCTATATTCATTTTATATATTCTGCTTTTGTGAGCACTGCAATTAATAAACACACTCACTTAGCTCATCATTAGGTTAAAGGGTAAGAGGACCTACTGTGGTTTGGATAATAGTTTGAATTTCTCCCAAAAGCCCTGTGTTGGGGTGCTTGGTTCCCAAATGTTAAGGACTAATGGATTCATGTTCATCGTTAATGGATTAAGGGTGGAAGGTTGATTCAATTATGTCTGGTAGATGAGCCTAGTGGGAGATTTTTGGGTCATAGGAGGTTTCCCCTCAGAAGGTAATTCTCACAAATGGGTTGGTTACCTAGGCCAAGTTCAGCCTCACTTCTCTCTCCGCTCCCAGGCTGACTGTGTGTGAACATTCTTCTGCAAATGCTTTGCCATTGCCAGCCTCCACCACACACAAGACTAATAGGACCACCCAACCTTGGACTGTGAACCTCCAAACTATGAACTAGAATCAATCATTTTTCTCCCTAAAAAAGCTCCTATTAGGTATTTCTGTTCTAGTAATACAAAGCTGGCTAATACACCCACCATCTTGGGAAAGTTATAAACCTTGAAGCTGAAATTGTCATAAGAACAGGTCCACCCTGGCCAGTCCAGTGTGACAAAGCCTCTACTCAAAGTTGTCCTTATCAAAGTCCAACCCCATTACTCTCCATCCTCTTACTCTATTTCATTTTTCTTCACAGAAATTTTTCATCACCTAAAAGTTCATCACTTCTCTTTGGCCATTATCTGTTTATCCTATTAGAATCCAAGTTCCATGAGAGCAAGGAATTTTTTGCTTATTCACCATTGAGTTTTTTTTTTTTTTTTTTTTTGACAGGCAGAGTGGACAGTGAGAGAGAGACAGAGAGAGAAAGGTCTTCCTTTGCCGTTGGTTCACCCTCCAATGGCCGCCGCTGCAGCCGGCGCACCGCGCTGATCCGATGGCAGGAGCCAGGAGCCAGGTGCTTTTCCTGGTCTCCCATGGGGTGCAGGGCCCAAGCACCTGGGCCATCCTCCACTGCACTCCCTGGCCATAGCAGAGAGCTGGCCTGGAAGAGGGGCAACCGGGACAGAATCCGGCGCCCCGACCGGGACTAGAACCCGGTGTGCCGGCGCCGCAAGGTGAAGGATTAGCCTATTGAGCCACGGCGCCGGCCTAGTTTTTTTTTTTTTTTTTTTTTGACAGACAGTGAGAGAGAGACAGAGAAAAAGGTCTTCCCTTCTGTTGATTCACCCCCCAAATGGCTGCTACAGCCAGTGCACTGTGGCCAGCGCACTGTGGCCGGCGCACTGCACAGATCTGAAGCCAGGTGCTTCCTCCTGGTCTCCCATGCGGGTACAGGGCCCAAGGACTTGGGCCATCCTCCACTGCACTCCCAGGCCACAGCAAAGAGCTGGACTGGAAGAGGAGCAACCAGGACAGAATCCAGCACCCCAACCGGGACTAGAACCGGGGGTGCCCGCGCCGCAGGCGGAGGATTAGCCTAGTGAGCCACAGCGCCAGCCTGAGTTCTTAAAACTGAAGTAATATCTGTAAAATAGTAGATGCCCAATACTTATTTTTGAGTCACTGGATAAATAAAGGAATCATAAATAGCTTTAGAAGCTTTAGATCAGAAAAAAAAAAAAAAGCCTGCAAAAACAAGCAATGCATTGCTTTCCAAAGACTTTCCAGAGAGAGGGTACCTAGCAACAAAGCACTCTCCGTTCATGATGGATGTGTTCCCATTAGAGGATGAGCTCATCACATTTCCTACTACAGCTGCTGCTACTAGCCCCTCTCATACCACTATGTGAGTGCCCTCGTTCTGATTGTATGGTCACAACATAACTTCTAATAATCTGGTTTCCATGTCATCTGCTCACAAGGCAGGATTACTCCTTGCCGTTCCAACCTCTCCTGGCCATGCTGTGGCCTTGCTGTGGGCCCATCCCTATGTGTTCACATGAACTTTGGAAACAAGCAATAGAAAACAGGTGAAACAGGTCACGCAGAAGAGAACTTTTTTGGAACAGTATAGAAATATGGCACAATCTTTAAACCTAGGGCTCTCAGGGGAGCAGTCACAACAGGAAAATTCCAACCACAGACTGGAAGGCCACAAGAATTCTAACTACACCTTTCTCTGCTCCTGTGTGTTCAGCAATTTCATTCTATTTCACCGTACATGCACCAGAGACGTTCTGTCTATGTTCTCTCAGAGACTGAAAGGCTCCTGGGAAAGGCGCTGATGGGCTGGCCCAGCTGGGCTAGGCTCCATTCCAGACCAATCCACAGTGGCCACAAGGGTGGGATCCATGAGAACATGGCAGCATCCATGAGCCCACACGGCTGGAGGATGTCAGAGGCGGACGATTTTCTAACAGAAAAAGGTTACTACTCACAGAAGAAAGGAAGGATGCTGGGAAGACACACAGTGGACTCTCCCTCTCGTACATGAAATTCTGCAAGACTAGTGTAGGTGTCTTGAAGAAGTGAATGCATGGCCAGTGCTGCGGCTCACTAGGCTAATCCTCCACCTAGCGGCGCCGGCACACTGGGTTCTAGTCCCGGTCGGGGCGCCGGATTCTGTCCTGGTTGCCCCTCTTCCAGGCCAGCACTCTGCTGTGGCCAGGGAGTGCAGTGGAGGATGGCCCAAGTGCTTGGGCCCTGCACCCCATGGGAGACCAGGAGAAGCACCTGGCTCCTGGCTTTGGATCAGCGCAGTGCGCCGGCCGCAGCGCCAGCCGTGGCAGCCATTGGAGGGTGAACTAACGGCAAAGGAAGACCTTTCTCTCTGTCTCTCTCTCTCTCACTGTCCACTCTGCCTATCAAAAAAAAAAAAAAAAGTGAATGCAAAATATGCCAAATTGGAATGTTAATTATTTCTAACTGAAATCATTTGAGGAACTGTTGTTTCAGAAGAGGCCATTTGGCCTCTTTTCCTACGTGCAGCAAGCCATAAAGATACTTTTGGGGCCGGTGCCGTGGAACACTAGGTTAATCTTCCACCTGCAGCGCCGGCATCCCATATGAGCACTGGTTCTAGTCCCGGTTGCTCCTCTTCCAGTCCAGCTCTCTGCTGTGGCCCGGGAGTGCAGTGGAGGATGGCCCAAGTGCTTGGGCCCCTGCACTCACATGGGAGACCAAGAGGAAGCACCTGGCTCCTGGCTTTGGACCAGCACAGCTCCAGCCGTTGCAGCCATTTGGGGGGTGAACCATCAGATTGAAGACCTTTCTCTCTGTCTCTCTCTCACTGTCTGTAACTCTACCTGTCACATAAATAAATAAAAAATCTTAAAAAAAAAAAAAAAGATCCTTTTGGGAGGGATGTCCTATGCACTCCAAGGCTTAATCAGCAGACTAGTAAATGGAGCTGCATTAAATCTGAGCAACCGACCTCTAAAGTGACCCGTATCTTTCACTAGATCCTGCGCGCCCTGTATATCTCTTAGTAAAACCCCTAAATCTTCCTCCCCAGTCAGAGATCCATCTGTTCTTTCATCCCTTCATAAATGTATTGTTCTTTGTTGGGAAAGGAGGAGAGGGATTCGAAAAGTTCGTAGAAAATGCATTTTAGGAAACAACTAAGCATAGATTTCAGACAAAGAGATCTAAGTGGTGTGGGTTTGGGGTCTAACCTGGTGCTGCAGTCTTGGACAGGCTGCGGGGTCCTGTGTGACCTAGTGTTGCAGCATCGGTGGCCACAGGACTGGGCATTTGGGTCCACCCCAGGCCCAGGGGTAGGGTTTTAGAATGGGTTACCCCTTTTCCCACAACTCCTCAATTCATTCGAATGTCGCAGCAGCTGGGTGTGCTTCAAACCCAGGCTCCAAGTGTCACCGAGCCAGTCTGTGCACGGGCAGCTGCGTTGTAGCAAATCTCAGCTTCAGACACCGCCTAGTGCTGAAGGGGTGGAAGTGTCCACAGACTTGGCAAAGCAGACTCCTTGGAATTTCTGGAAGGCATCCACCAAGACACGAATAATCATTAACTCTTCCGTGCCCAGATGAAGCCATATGCCAATAAGGATCAAGAACTCGGAGAAATATGACTTCCTTCACCTAATGAACAAATCTGGGTGCTGGAGACTAACCACCTAGGACCTGACATTGTCAGATGTGCAGATAAGGAATTTAAAGTCGCCGTGTTAGGGGCAGGCATATAGTCTAGCGATTAAGAAGCATGTGTCCCACTGAGAGGGCCTGGTCGGCTACCTGGCTCTAGTTCTTCACTCCAGCTTTCTGCTAATGTACACTTTGGGAGACAGTGATTTAGAGTCAGTGCACTTCCTACCAAAATGACAATGACATTTTCCACAGAACTTAAAAAAACTGCTAAATGTTAGATACTTCAGATAGACAAAGCAATCTGGAGCAAAAATAACAAAGCAAGAGATTTCACTAGCTGATTTTAAAATATTTTACAAAGCTGAGTAATTAAAACAGCATTGGCATAGACCCACAGAAGAGAGACCTTCGACTTAAACCCACACATCTACAGCCAACTGATCCTTGACAAAGGTGCCATAAACAGTCATTGGTGCTGGGGAAACTGAAGAATAAAAGTAGACCTCTGTCTCTCACCACATACAAAAATCAGCTGAAAGGGGATTGAGGACATAAATGTAAAAACTGAAACTTTGAAACTGTTAGAAGAAAACATAGGCAAGACATTTCAGGACATTGGAATGGGAAGAAATTTTCGGATCAGATCCCCAAAGCCCAAGAAGCCAAAGGAAAAACAGACAAATAGGATTTCCTTAAACGAAAGAGTTTTTGCATAGTAAAGGGAATAGTTAAGACAGTGAAGTGACAGCCTACAAATGGGAGAAATTATCTCAAGCTCTATATCTTACAAAAGGTAATAACCAGAATACATAAGGAACTCAAACAACTCAACAACAACAAAATCTGATTACAACATGGGAAAATGGTCTGGGTAGGCATTTCCCCTAAGCAGACACACAAATGGCCAACAAATGTGTGGAAAAAAAAAACCGTTCAACCTCACTAATCAGCAAGGAAATGCAAATCAAAACCACAATGAGATTTCACCTCACTCCTGTTAGATTGGCTATCAAAAAGAAAAAGGATAAAAAGGGGAGATGGGGGAAAAAAACCTTGCATACTGTCGGTGGGAATGTAAAATAGCACAATTATTAGGAAAAACAATATGGAGGTTCCTCCCCCCAAAAAATAAACTAAACTGAAAAACAGAACTACCATATGCTCCAGCGATCCCACCACTGGATATTAATTCAAGTGAAATGACATCAGCTCATTGAAGAGACATCTGCAGTCCCATGTTTATTACAGCACTATTCACAACAGCCAAGGAAGGGGAACAACATAAGTGTCCACACATTGATGAACAGGTAAAGAAAATGGGGTACATACACACAACTGACTATTACTCAGCCATAGAAAATGACATCATTGGGCCGGCGCCGCGGCTCACTAGGCTAATCCTCCGCCTAGCGGTGCTGGCACACCGGGTTCTAGTCCTGGTCAGGGCGCCGGATTCTGTCCCGGTTGCCCCTCTTCCAGGCCAGCGCTCTGCTGTGGCCAGGGAGTGCAGTGGAGGATGGCCCAGGTGCTTGGGCCCTGCACCCCATGGGAGACCAGGAAAAGCACCTGGCTCCTGGCTCCTGCCATTGGATCAGCGCGGTGCGCCGGCCGCAGCGCGCCGGCCGCGGCAGCCATTGGAGGGTGAACCAATGGCAAAGGAAGACCTTTCTCTCTGTCTCTCTCTCTCACTGTCCACTCTGCCTGTCAAAAAAAAAAAAAAAATAAAGAAAGAAAAAAGAAAATGACATCATTTACAACAACGTGGATGGAACCTCAGGTCACTACATTAAGTGAAATAATCTAAGCACAGGAAGAAAGTACCTCATGATCTCCCTCATGTGTAGGACCCGAAAACACTGACCACATAAAGGAGTAAAATGGTGGCTACCAGAGCTGGGGACGGTGGTGAGGAGGGAGGTTGGGGAAAGGTTGATTAATGAGTTCTAAGTTATAGTTAGAAAGGAGTAATAAGTTCTAGAGTTCCATTGCACAGATAATGATACCATAGTGTATATTTCTTCTTAAGAATGTATTGTGGGTCAGCGCCGTGGCTCACTAGGCTAATCCTCAACCTGCGGCGCCGGCACCCCGGGTTCTAGTCCCGGTTGGGGCGCCGGATTCTGTCCTGGTTGCCCCTCTTCCAGGCCAGCTCTCTGCTGTGGCCCGGGAGTGCAGTGGAGGATGGCCCAAGTCCTTGGGCCCTGCACCCCATGGGAGACCAGGAGAAGCACCTGGCTCCTGCCTTTGGATCAGCGCAGCACGCCGACCGCAGCAGCCATTGAGGGGTAAACCAAAGGAAGGAAGACCTTTCTCTCTGTCTCTCTCTCTCTCACTGTCCACTCTGCCTGTCTAAATAAATAAATAAGTAAATAAATAAATAAATAATTTTTTTAAAAAAAGAACGTATTGTGAATGCTTTTGCCATAAAGAGATGTTAAATGTATGAGAAGAGACATTTACCCTGATTGAACTTTACATTGTATGTGTGTAAATATGTATAATTTTCATCAAATAGAAAAATAAAAATAAAGGATTTTTCACCAAAAATATTTTGCAGCAAAATAAACTCATCTTTCAGCTCCATTTTTCCATGAACTCTTCTTTTCCATGAACTTTTTGAAGTACCTCCATATGAAAGCAATAGGCTTTGGCCATTTCTTTGAACTTGACTCATCTGTGAAGGAAAATTTCATAATATGTGTGTGCCTCTCTCTCTTATTCATCTCTTATTAACCGGGCTCCTAGATGCAGACAAACCAAGAAGGGTAGGGGGAATGTCTCCAATACCTGCAGTCTCCAAGGGCATTCAGGGCAACTTATGCTCAATACTAGAGCGTCAGGATGAAAGTCACAAATAAATCTCAGGAGGAAGAGCTTGGATTCCAACCAAAAAAAGGCCATCATTGGCAAGTTGTCCAAAAACTCTATAGACCCTCTTTTTACTGATACATTTGAGAGCATACAATAAATGAAGAGCTATGAAAATATTTTAATTTGATTCACATATTTTGTTTTTCATCTCCTCATAGGAAATATTTTAGGCCTTTATTGTGGGTCACACAATGAGATGTAGGAGGAATTGGGACAAACAGGAAGGAGCTAGTGGTGAAACCTTGAGCTGCCAGCCCTTTGAGTCCTAGGTTTTCCTTTTTGAGCCCACTGGTGCCCCATGTTCCCAGCACCCCTCACCTCTACCCATGTACTGTGCAAGCAGGGAGGAACGAGGAGGAAGCAATGGCCGCCCTTCAGTGCTAGTGCTTTGAGCATCCTTCCGATCCCAGCCTCTCCACCCGCCTTGCACCATCACCCATCACATCTCCATTTGACTCACTATCCACAAATGCACCTGATGAACATCTGCACCCAAGTGCAGCCAGTTAGGGAGGGACATTTCCACGCTCAAGGGTGACGGTTCCGACCTCTGCAGAGTGAGCATGGCCTTGCGGTTGGTTTGACCCCACGTCCTCTCACCTCCACCTTGTCAGCAGCAGATATTTAAGTGTAGCTTGAAGCACATGGACAAGGCAGACTGCAAAGCGGAGGCTGAAAGTAAATAAGCTTCGATCTACAGCAGCGCAGGACACGGGAAGTGCTATTGCATATCTACAAAAGCTGGGTGCAGAGGCACATGACTACCAACCTCCGCGCCATGAAATCAGTGAGCCGGGAAAATCTGAAATGCAGACAAGATCAAAGGATTCTGTGACTCACAGAAGCGGGGCAGTTGATTTAAAATAAAAGAATGAAATCCAAATGTGCCACAAGATGGCGCCTTTGCCTTTCTAAAATTGTTTCCTTTTGTTGGGCACCAGGCGTCATCTTTCCCAGAAAAAAAAAAAAAGGCAGGAATATGTACAGAAAACAACAGGCTATTTCAAAGATGACCTGTTTATTGAAGGACAAGTTTCCTGGGAGACTTTGGCCTGGCAAGCCTTAGGTAAACATTGAGCAGCTCCTGGAGTAATGAGCACTGTGCTTCAGCACACTCACCATTGCCACACGCTGTTGGGTTTGGTTCCATTTGATGAGGAAGGAAATTAATCTTTGGAATCTCCAGGCAACCCTTTGTCTTTAGGCAGGTCATTCGTTTCGCAGCATCGCTGTCAAACCTTTATTGGAACCTGCTCTGTTCAGTGCAGTCTGCTGGCGAAGCCATCATTCAAGGAGAGTTCTTTCTAAGAGGATGAAATGGGAGGAAATATTTGGCTGATAACACTTATAACACCCGGGTTTACCTAATAATCAGCCATTCGATATTGGAAGAAAAATATGAATACTTTATGCATTGAAGAATGTCAAAGAAGCTCTCCCCAACTACAGAATATTGTGACCCAAAGAGAACTAAAGGAGAATGTTCACTGCAGCATCATTTAAAATAATAAAAATGTGAACATAATATACACGTCCAGCACTACGAAAATGGTTAGTGTGCTATAACCGCACAGTAGAGTATGGGCAGCTGTGTAAACGGTGAATGAATACATTGAGTTCCATGGTGTGGCTGTCCTCTCTCCGCTCCCGTCCCTCCCGTCCATGCATACTCTGTTTTGTGACACTGATGGGGACCTGCAATGCCTGGCTCCCCTTTGCCTGCGGGCGCAAGCGAGCTCTGCCAGTAGGGGGCAGTCGAGGGAGCTTGCACAGCTGGAGGAGGGAGCCGGAGGGAGCAGGCTCCCTCTGTGTCGTTTTGTGTGGCTTCTGTCGGCCTCAGCCTTCACCCTGGCAGCCCCTGGTACAGGATTCTGGGTTGTTTTTGGCATCCTAAGAACCAACCTCATTGTGTGTCTGCCCAGCCCTCTCTCCCCGCCCCGGGCACCAGCAGCGGTCGCCAGGCGCCTTCCTTCAAGCCTCTGAATTCTGATACCTCCACCCTCCTCCTGTGCTCCCCGCCCTGCCAGGGGGAGCTTCTGGGGCAGTTATTTTCTCTGTACTCCAGGGCTTGTTTCTTTCCCCCGTTCTATGAGGCCTCTTTAAGTCCTAATACATTTTCTCTTTTGAAATACTTAATGTGGACCCTGACTGGTAGGGAGACATTTGCCAGGAACTATATATTATATAGATTTGTAGACAGATGAATACACACATATATACATATTAGAATATATACATTCATGTATGTAAAGGTGCATATATATATATATATATATATATAACTTCCAAAAGTTGTGGAATTTCCAAAAGTTTGTGGAAATGGAATTAAAAGATAAATTAATTTTGGTGCAAAAAAACCTGAAATTCAAGCCTTTTTTTTTTTCATCATTTCCATGAACTTCTTGAAGATCCTTTGTTTCCATGAATTTCAAAATTTTTTTCAAAAGGTTTATTTATTAATTTGAAAGGCAGAGTTACAGAGAGAAGGAGAGACAAAGAGAGAGATCTTCCACCCACTGATTCACTTCCCAAATGGCCACAGTGGCCAGGGTTGAGCCAGGCTGAAGCCAGGAGTTTCTTCCAAGTCTCTCCCATGGGTGCATTTGGGCCATCTTCTGTTGCTTTTCCAGGCACATCAGCAGGGAGCTGGATTGGAAGTGGGGCAGCTGGAACTCAAACCAGTGACCATTAAGGGTGCTGGCTCTACAGACGCCAGCTTAACCTGCTGTGCCGCAGCACCGGCCCTGGATTTCAAAATTTTTTGCAGCAAAATAAATTTTGTCTCATTCCATTTCCCATGAGATTTTGGAAGCAACCTCATCTATAAAAAATGTTACTTAATCCTCACAACAAATACTATGGAAAAGATACCATTACCCCCATTACACAGAAGGAGAAACTGAATCTTGGGGAGGGTAGATAAATTTTGCAATATTACATAGCTAATAAATGATGAAGCTGGGATTTGAATCCAAATATCCCTGATTCCACAATCTGTATTTTTTGCTCTATGCCTTGGAAGTTGCTCAAACCTCAAGGTCAATTTACACTTCAGTGGGCATAGTTCAATTCCTAGACTAACCCTTTTTTTTTTTTTTACATTATAATGTAAGACAAAACACTGTGCATATAATACTAGAGAAGATCATCACCATGTGTGACTTTATGACGTTATGGAAAGTTATGAAAAGTTTGAGGAGACTGTAAGGAAACCATGGACATCCCTAATCCCAAGTTGTTTGTCAGTTATTCATTCCACTACTAGGATTTAGTGTTTTATTTGCCTGGCAATGTGCAGGACTCAAAATGATAATGCAAACATGACTAGTCCCTCCTCCAAATAGTTTACAATTAGGGTATTTGACCATCTTTAACTAAATCATCATATATAAAAGGTACTTCAAAAAATCCCTAGAAAGTAGAGTTAAAAGGTAAATTTCGGGGGTGGGCATTTGGTCTAACGGTTAAGATACAGTTAGGACATCCACGCCCACATTGGAGGAACTGGGTGTGATCCCCAGCTCCAGCTCCTGGCTCCAGGTCCCTGCTACTGTGGACTCTAGGAGGCAGCACTGATGGCTCACATAGTTGGGTCCCTGCCAGCCCCAAGGGAGACCTGGAAGGAGTTCCTGGTTCCCAGCTTCCGCCCAGCCCAGGCCCAGCCATGGTGGAGATTTGAGGAGTAAACAAGCGGATGGGAGCGCTTTCTCTCTGTCCTTCTGCCTCGTAAAGTAATTAATCAATGAATCCAAAAGATAAGTTTGTTTTGGTGTAAAAGCCATTTTTGAAATCCATGCATAATTTTTTCATAATGGACATTCTCCATGCACTTTTTGAATACCCCTCATATGCAGGGATTTCAACATTTTTGCACCAAAATAAACATCTTTTAATGCCACTTTCCATGAACTTTTTGAAGTACTGTTATAGAAGTACCTAAGTGTATCACGCAAGGAATTAACATGCACAGGCCATCTGATAAGAGCTGTTCAAAATGCAGCATACACACACACACACACACACATTCCAGATGTTGGCATCCATCCCTCCATGTCTGGACTGTGTCTGCTCTGCCTTTGTGTACCGGGAACTCTGGGTTCCCCATCCAAAGGGCTTGCAGAGAGATGTCAGAGCAATAGTAGCAGTGTGTCTCCAGAAAACCTGCTCCTCCCCAGGGCTTGACCTCTTTGCTTCCCGCGTGACTTTTGTGAGGTCCATCAATATTTCCACAGGCAGCAGATGGACCAAGACATCCCTGTAGCCTAATCAATACCATGCTCAAGTGACCAGGGAAAAGTGGCCAGAAAGCTGTCTAAGGGACAGACTTGCAGAAGTGCAAACACAACCCAGCCAGAAACTTATGTTGTAATCAGGGTCAGGAATCTATTTGTCACATCACCCATGACAGCGAAACCTCTGAACTCGTGCAGCCACATTTCATCAGTCAGGAAACAAAGCATTGGGCAACCACCCAGTAGAGAAAAGGGATCTGCTGTAGCCAACATCCACTGATGGATACAAAAATGAACAAGGGAAACCTTACAGAGGAAAAAGACTTTTGCAGAGCTTCAAAACACTTTCTTCCTAAATACGTAATCACTGTCATGGCTGAACAATTTCTTTGAAGCCCCCCTCCAGGAGGTGGAATTGATTTCCACACGTTCATGGCTGGGAAAGGGGGAAATTGCAGCTTTGATGGAGACAGCACCTGAACCAGGAGAAAGGCACATGGCCTCTAATTGTCTACACCAAGACGTATAGCCTCAGCTAGCCACAAGGACACACCACACAAAGCCACCAGAGGGGCATTCTACAAAATTTCCGATAAATACTTTTTCTCTTTTTTGTTTTTTGCTTTCTCTTTTCAGAAACCACTCTTACATGTCTTTATTATGGCTCATTCTTTTTGCAGATTGAATAAAGCATTTTTTTTTCTAAATCGGCTTTGGATCTGAGGATTTAAAAGTTTTTATTGTATATTGACAAACTATAATTGTATATATTTTTGGAATTCAAAGTGCTTTTACGATATATGTCTACAAAGGAGAATGATTACTCAAGCTAATTAGTGTATCTGTCACCTCAAATACTTAACCATTTTTTGGTAGTGAGAACATCTGAAATTTACTTTTTTTTAAAGATTTATTTATTTACTTGAAAGACAGTTACAGAGAGGTAGAGACAGAGAGAGAGGTCTTCCATCCATTAGTTCACTCCCCAGATGGCCGCAACGGCCGGAGCTGTGCCGATCAGAAACCAGGAGCCAGGAGCTTCCTCCGGGCCTCCCATGTGGGTGCAGGGGTCCAAGGACTTGGGCCATCTTCTACTGCTTTCCCAGGCCACAGCAGAGAGCTGGATAGGAAGTGGAGCAGCCGGGACTAGAACTGGCGCCATATGGGATGCTGGCCCTTCAGGCCAGGGCCACAGTGCCAGCCCCCTGAAATTACTCTTAGCAACTTAAAACATAATGCCAATAGTTCATATTACTAGCTGTGGTCCCTCTGCTGTGCTATAGATAACAACAATTTATTCTTAGGATAACTGAAAGTTTGTATCCTTTAACCAGTCCCCCTTCCCTCCCCCTCCCACCCTGCCCTTGGTGACCACTATTCTATTCCCTGTTTCTATGAGTTTGATTGTTTTAGAGTTCACAGATAAGTGAGAACAGGAGCTATTTGTCTTTCTGGGCTTCTGACCAGTACTTTTCCAAAGTGTTTTTCCATGCAAAACAAAGAAAGATTGAGAATAAACACAATTCAAGATCCTGAGACAGAAAAAGGGCCTTGGTAGAAACACTGGTGAAATTCAGTTTTTAAAGTCTGTCAGTGAGCTAGTAGCATGTTAGTTGCTTTGTTTTGATAAAGATGCCATGGTTATATAAGGTGACATTTGGGGAAGCTTGGTGAAGGCTATATAGGAACTCTCTGTACTATCTAACCCTTCTGTAAATCTAAAATTATTTCAAAATATAAGGACTAAAATGGAAAGAGACGGGGCGCGGGAAGCTACCACGTACCAGGACCCATTTCCACAAATGCATGCAGTACTTCTGCAGTTTAAGGGTTAGGCAGTACGGGTGGCACTCTTTGCGCAATCAGCAGTCACGGGCTGGGGAGGAGAGGTGGGTCCAACATCAGCATATGCACCCAGCCTCTTGACAGGCAGGAAGGCTGCTTGGAGGAGGCTCAGGCCTGATCTGGGGAAGGGTGGAGAATTCTGGGGAGGGAGAAAGGACAGAAATGAGAAGAAGCTTCCCCTAAAAAGGCTGCAAAGTATTCAGGAGAAACCCCTAGGAAGACCTGTG